CCAGCACTTCCTACCTCGGCTTTGCAATAGTCTTGAGGAAAGCATGAAGAAAGGGAATACGTAAAATGGAGTCCCTTTAACCGAGCTGCTGAAATTATGAACGTTAAGAAAGTTGTGGCACTAGGAAAGACTCCATTCCTGGTCTCACTAGCCTGGGAACTTAAACTTTTCTGAACTTCCCAGTCCTGCGTTAATGCCTGGATATACATCCAGACCTCAGATAACTTAACACTCTAATTACCCCCTGAAGGACTCCCATATCCAGGCCACCCAATTACGCCCTGAAGTACTCACAAATACATCCACCTGACATCCATTATCCAGACCACTGGATGTGACCAGACCTCCCGGTACCCACCTTCCGGGCCACCTGGTATCCATCATCGGACCATCTGACGTGTGACTGATAACCATCCTGGACCAATCCTATGGGGGGGGGGGGCTAAGACTGCAGGGCTGATACTTCTCAATGGTGTCGTGCTTCTTACTATAAGAGCTCTTGACTTTTGTTTCTTTTTTGGAACACTATTTGGGTTTCTGCCTAAATCAGTGTTTCCGGAATAACTATTCTTTATGCAAATAAATGCTTGCTGCCTTTCACTTGGCCTTTTATTTTCAGGTTCATAGTCTCTTCACTGGTCTCCCCAACTCCAGTCAGATCCACGCAAGCCACGTTCCACATGGCGCCAGTGTGCTGGGCAAATCGCACAAGCTGAGCCCCTCAGAGGGCCCCCAGCCCCTGGCTACAAGCCGGGCCCCTCGGCTGGGCGTCCGGGTCCTGCACGGCCTGGGCCAGCCTCCCCTCCCCCATCGTCCTGACACATGTGTTAGGAGCTAACAATCCCTGCTTACTGCTAGTTTTCTCCGCTTGGAATATTCTCCCTAGCGCCAACTGACTGGAAAACTCTTTTGGTATGGCTTTATGAAAAACAATGAGGTAATTTGAATACCTAACCTTAGAAAAAAGGAAATACCCCAAAATGAAGGTCTAGACACACAGCTGTTGACCGCAGCCTTACTCATCATGGCAAAAAAGGTGTGTGTGGGAGCAACTTAAATGCCCCAAAATAGTCAAATGAATTCTGGTATATGGGATACTATAATAATTAAAAATGATGCTGACAAAGTCTTAAAGACATAGAAATGTTTATTCTAGAAAGGACTCAGAAGATATGCAGATAATCCAAAACGATGCCATACAAGCGAAGGAAGAAAGAAGAACAGGAATAATGCTGTAGAGCAGAGTCAGAGAGGAGGCCACAGAAACACCTTTCAGCTGTGTGTGAGCCACCAATCCGGCCCTCGGCTCTCCACTAGCGAGCACAGAGCCAGTTCTGACGGTATCAGCATTTGGCCTCCACGTTACGAAAACGTCCCCTCGTGGGGAGAGAGGCAGCCGTTCCACACGCAAGCTGCTGTGGCGAGGCGCCCCAGAGAAGAGCATGAACAACTAAGAAGACGCACATGGCAGGTTGGCTGAGGGTGATTTATACTGCAGTCCTGGATGAAAGCCATGGCTGCTGCCCCGGCCAACTCGATTCCCGTGTCAGGAGCCAACGGGTCATAACGCACGTCTTCAGTGTTCCGTGCATCTACCTTGTTGCAGAACTTGGATTTAGGGAAGTAGAGTGACTGAAGTGCATTTCAATGACTCTTCCCCCAAGTAGTTTTTTTGGTCATACTTCTGATCCACTTGATGAATTTAAAGTTGTACTTGCTGAAAAGTACCTGGAGTCGAGCTAATCTAGCCATGTAATTAAAAATAGACTCAATCAGAATGAATAATTAGGGGCAGGAGTAGAGGCAGGGAGCGCAGTGAGAAAGCTTCTGCAGGAAAGCAGGAGAGTGCTGGAGGTCGTAATGACACAGTGGCAGTAGTAGGAGCAGTAATAGTTCTAATAATAACAGTAATGTCACATTATATTGCAGTTATAGCGATAAGAATAACAGCATAAACGTTATCATGACTTGTCAGGCTTTGAACTGAATATGTAAAAACCAATTTTTCGTTACGTAAATTTGATTCTTGAATCAAAATGTAAGTTCCTTTATTGGCATTTTCTTTTGTTAATAAAAGTCAAGCCAAAATTAAAAATGCAGCACACACAAAGCCGGCACCGTCTCCGAGATCCTACAAGTTTTGGTGGCACTGCCCTACTCTGTGCTTGTTACTAAGAAGAGCAAGGGAAATGGCATCTGCCTTTGACTCCCTACTCATTCATATTCTGGCTACCAGTCCCCTCACGATCATTTTAAAACATTTGAAGAGTTTATTCATTTAATTAAACTAGAACTGGTACAAGCAAGACACAATTCTGCGTATCATTTCATAGGTCTCTTGTTAAAGAAGACTCGTACGCGCAGCTGGGATGGATGCACCTGCACGACTTCTCTGGAGTCGTCACCATGACTACGCACAGGAGGGGAAATCAGGTACCAGTTCCTCCTAACGTGCACCAGGGTCTCCAAAAGAAACGAGCAAGAGAATGATTTTTGCAAGTATGGTGGTACAAGAGCATCCATTCCCGAGTGACATGGACAGACGCCCTACCCGTCAGCAACAGGGCACAGAGGCACCCAGCGTGTCAGGGGTGAGCAGGCCACAGGAAAGAGCACCAGAGAAGAAAGACAACAACCTGGAGCCATTTTTGAAACAGTTTTGACTCCAAGGAGATGCAAAGAATGCTGTGGATGAGTCAGCCTGGAAATAATGGGAAAGACAGTCTATGAAGTTCATCGGAGCAACGACTCCATAATACCCCAGAGGAAATTATCTAGCAAAATGCAAATGCCAGTGCATTTGTTTGATAACATCCATTAGTGCAAACTGTCTGGCAGATAAGAGCAAGAGGCATAAAATATCTTGATTTTAAAGTCAGCATGGAAAAAAATGTATGAGCGCTTCAAAGAGTGAGTATGTGTGGCGAGTCTAAGATCAAACAGTCATTAGGTATAACCTGTGTTTGGGAATGCGCAATGCATTTTGCTATTCAAAGGAATATCTACCATAAGAAAGTAAAAGCAGATGGACAGTTAGGGGCTTGAAGCAAAAAGAATCAAGGAATGAGCTGAGAACCAAATACTGATGCAAAAAGAAGAGCTTGGGGCCAAACTGAACTGGCCCTGAAGTTTTTGTGCATGTGTGTGCAATAAACATTAAAATGCTATTTTGTCTTGCTTAGTATTTCCAAAACATTTTACTGTGAAAGGAGATCTGGCCTCATACATCATGACCATCTAAATACTGCTAAAGCCATGCAATTTGTCATAATTAAAAATTACCATCAGCCAGATGTTACCCAGCAGGCCATGGCGAAGGGGACTGAGATACCCCTGTGGCTGGGATGTTATGCAGCCTCCAGCAACCGGATGCCGTAACATGGGGCTCTAAATGAACAAGCTCTTTTATCCTGCATGAATTACAGAGCCAAAGGAATGCTGTAGCTAGTTTTGAAAACATTTTCTCAATTACAGTTAGAAAGTTATTTGGAGTTTCAGGGAAAAGTTGCTATTTAAATTTACTTTGCTTTGGATTTTTTTTTTTTAAAGTAGGAGCAGCCTCACAGGGCTCTGAACAATCTCCAAGAAATAAAATAAAAGAAAGCACTTTCCCTGCTTTTAACTATCAGGCTTTGGGCATCCCTGAGTGGGACCTGCAGAGATGGATGAGGCTACGCGGAGAGGCTTTCTGTGGTTCGCCTCCTGCCTGTCTGTGCCGGTGTTTCTGGAGTCGCCCAGTGAACACTGAGCATGATGTCTAGAGTGAGAATGTATGTGTCATACCCACGTTTGAAGGAAACTACCAAGTCTTTTTGCGTCCAGTTTACGATGTGATCTCAGGGGTAGTTAGCCATCTATGAGCCAAGGGAAGGAACCCCACCGGCAGGCCTTGGCTGGGCCGCCCCAGTGCACTGTCTCCCCGCCTGGTTTCCTAACGATCACGTTGCCTGAAAGCATTTCAAGTGCGATCCATTCCCCTTGAGAGTTTCTGCGTTTATTTCCTGGGGTTTTTGTCACTGTTTTTTTGTTTTGGGATTATTAAACTGATCCTTCTAGTGGCATACTTTCTTTCATATTTCTAATAAATAGTTGTTATCAATGCACTATTTTATGAATAAATGGATTGTTTTATATCTCTGTGTGTTTCCTACTTTTGCATTTTCCTACCTTATTTATTTAAGTACTTTAAGACAATTTTTAAAGCCAATCTTTTTTTGAGTGAGGGCCATTTCTTCAAAGCAGAATTTAATTTTTATTTTTAAAACACTTGCACAAACGCAAAAACTCTAAAAAAGGTTTTTGATTACAGGAGGAGAGCTTTTAAGGCAACTTGGAAATAATTTAATGAAGTGATTTAAATTTATTTAACGTTAACTGGACGAAAAGAATTCTGACACAGTGAGAGTAAATTTCCATAGGGAGAGGGGATGGGAATTCCGTGAGAATCACCGAGGGAGTTTTCCCGCCTCTGCACGCTGGGCCTCTCTCCGGTAGAATCTAGACATTTGGGTGGGGGGGCTATCCCATTCTGTTCCTGCTAGTAAAAACAAGCAAACAAACAAAAGACAAAAACTAGGGAAATGGAATCTGCCTCTGGACTTCCTACTCATTCCTGGCTGTATTCTGGCCCCTGATCCCTTCCTGATCATTCGGAAAACATTTTATAGATTTTCTTCCCTTAGTTAAAACGGCACTGTAAAATCGAGAATTGATCCTGAACACCCCAGATCTGTGGCAAGGACAGCCGGTACTGGGAGCCGCGCTGTTCAACCGTACCGCGAGGTTCTGGTTCGCGGTAGTGTGCTTCCTCTGGTGCAAAGGGGATCAGAAAAGCACTTCAAGGAGAAAGGTTATGCACAAAGAACGAGTTTCCAGCTGCTCGATCCTGACCCACGGACACGTTTGGGCGGGTGGGCCTGGCAGGTGGGCCTGGCAGGTCTGAGCCGGAGGCCGGCAGTGACACCGGCCCCGGCCAAGAGCAGGCGGCCCTAGTGACTCACCGGCAAGGCAAGACCCGGACCACGTCGCTGGGCTTGTAGCCTTCGATACAAACGGCACAGTTGTCGAAGTCGGGCTCTGTCTCCTGCAACAGAGAAAACGCACGTGAGCCCACTTTCGTGGCTTCAGCTCCTGCGGAAGCGCCCAGGTAACACGCTGCAGGACAGCAGGCCTCAGAGCCAGGCAGGCCTCCGCAGCCTGGGGGGGCGGGGTTCTTCAGCAATACTTGGCTGAATATTGGCTTAACGTCCATTCCTTCTAACCTCCCCTTTTTTGTTTCTGGGTTCCCCTGCAAGTGCTTTTAGGAGGAGATAATGTTTTATGTGCCACTGCTAATAATGCTATTCATTATAATTAGAGGTGGCATATCAAAAACCCGAAGATGAGAAATACTATTTAGGGAGAAATATCAGAACAATATTTTATCTACCCATTCCTTGGGAGTCTAGAGCATACAACTCTAAAATAGTGCTTCTAACTCTTTTTCCAAGTATATAAATCCCCCTTAGTGCCCCATAAAATATTACTTATATAATAGTCCTTATTCTTGTATTATTATATGTTTCAGGGGAAGACGTAATGAAAAATACTTTAAATTCAGTAGTCATTTTTAAATGAATGTTAGCATATTAATACACCCAATAGCATTTTCAGATAGGAGAAAACCAGCAGCACACAAGTGGGGAGACAAACCAGCCACCCGGACTAGAGGCAGCCCCAGGAACACGTGTGAGCCTAGAATCACTCCCAAGCCTTCAGGAGCCCACATGCACTGCCCTACACTTTCTCCTGGGGCGAAGAGAGACCATCAGAGGCCGTAGGTGTGGACAGCACTGCTTTGCTGACCGTCCTCAAGATGTGCTTGTGCTCTTGGCTTTCTGTCATCATTGTACAGCGAGGGAGCCTGCTGCGAAGACCGTGGGGTTCTAGACGCCACCCTTCACAGGCTCTGAGTACGCTCCCCGCATGTACTGCAGATGTAAGTGGAGGGGACCACTCAGCACCTAACGTGGGCTTCCCTGCAAAGGCTCATGGGGAAACTTTTTCAAGTCCTAACACAGGCACAGTCATTAGAAAAAAAAACACACAACACAAAACTGTGTGGGTCACTGAATAAGGTAATTAGCTACCGCTTCAAAATTGAGTATTATTTGCTTCTTTCCATTGGCTACTAGAAAGCCCCAACCTGAACTCAGTTATATATTTAAGGCAATGCATTTGTATACTAATTTCATCCCAACTTTATGTGTTTTTCCCACACTTTCTGTTTCATTTCTCATATTTTCTATCCAAACTACTTTGTTGTATGCATTTTATAACGTGCTTTAAATTATATTTAATAAAGATGGGTATATTTAATAAAGGTGCTCAGTGGAGACCTATCAGCACCCTTCTCTCTGCTTTCCCACCCTCCTCTCTCTGCCGCCCTGCTGGCCAGTGGAGTCCGGAGCTCCTTTGGGCAGCTCCTCACCCCAGAGAAAAGAGGCCGTTACCTTGTCACCCTTCTTGATGGTCCGGACCTGGAGCTTGCTGATCGCTTTCTTTGCTGCGTCTCCCAGTCGGCGCTGAAACATCAAAAGCTGCTTGTTAATAATAAAGGCCTGTGATTCTTGACTTGGTTTCTGATGACATTTGACCAACCGGGGCAGCTGTCCCTGCAATCACACACGAGTGGCCTGCCTGTCCGTGAAGAGGTCTGGAAGAGGCGGACTGGTGATATGGGTGCAAAGGGGGCCCAGGAACTGAGGGCTGTTAGGGAGAAGCTCCTCGTGGCCAGTGTCAAGCAAGGGGCACATGGAAAGATCCTGCCTGACAGTGACTTTTGGTGCAGGTACAGCTATGCAGATGAGCAAAAAATAAATAAATGCATTTAGTAATTTGCCACTCTAGCCATTTAATTTGTGACACAGAGACAGTCAATCTGGAGTAGTTAGAATAAACTTCCTCTCCTCTTTTTTCACAACCAGGGTTTATTGTTGGTGCATTCCTTTTAATTTGGAATTTTAAGACATTTCCGTTGCTTATGTAGACCCAAATTAGGTTTATATTTAGTCTGTACTATCCAATTACATCACATTCATACATGCTAATTTTGCCTCCTTTGTATACATTTAAATATGAATATGGGCACAGGGAAATAAATACACATGTTTAGTTTAATGAATGATTATAAAGCAAACCCTAGGTAACCACTACAACCCACATCAAGAAATACTGCATCGTGCACTATTTTTTAAAAATAAAGTTACTGTCTAATGAGTGCTGTGATAACGCAATAAGGAAGAGTGAGAGACAAAGAGGGTGGGGAAAGAATTGCTTTAATCTGTCAAGGAAAAAAATGGTTTGCTTTTGTGCTTGTGAGCGTTTTACATGTTATATCACCTTCCTGGGTACATGTACTGTGTGTTATAGGCGTGCATTTGCAGCACTAAAGCATATTTGAAGAACGGAGATACATGGGACAAACATTTAAACAGAATAAGCATTTGCTTTCACTAATTGTGTTCCTCTTGGAAATAACACCAAGCTTCTTTCTTGTTTTTAAAATAGTGAGCACACACTAGTGAATAGTTAATTTATCCCAGGTACCTTGCTAAAGCTGTACATGCAGTAGAACCTTTATCTTTACAATAACCCTATGAGAAAAATGTTATTTCATAGAATAAATTGAGACTTATAGAGTTTATGTAAATTGTTTTAATATTATAGTGTCAGTGAAAGGTCAGTTAGAATCTGAATAAAATTAAGTCTGACTTCAAAGCCAAAGCTCAGCCTACCATTTTTGTTACTCACCATCCATCCAGTAGAGCAAGCATCCAGTCAGCTAAACAACCAACTTCTGCCGAGACAGCCAACTAACCAATCAGCCAGCCAATTAGCTCACATTTGGCCAACCAGCCAGTCAACCAATCAGCTAACCAGCTAGCAATTCATTCAGCCAACCAACCAACCAATCAGGTAGCAAGCCATCCAGCCAACCAACTAATCAGCTAGCCAACCAACCAACATCTGGCCAGCCAGCTAACCAGTCAATCAGCCATTCAGCCAACCCACTAACCAACCTGCTGGCCAACCAATCAAAATCACTTAAGTACCTATCATGAGGCACTTCCCTTTACACACAGTAGTTATAGTAAATAAGTAGAAAAGGAGATATTCTCCTTGTTACTTTACTTTCCTCTTTGATATTTCATTTTTTAGCTTTTAAAAACATCACTGGCATTTTTAACAGGAGTGTAAGTTTTGTCTTTCCTAAAAGGACACTTGAGATAGAAGCAGAAGTCCATGAGTAGCTAGCAAACTAAGGTGGCAAGAAAAATAGGGGCGATCTATAATAAGAAATACCAATGGGGGACACAGAGGGAGAAGGAGAAAAAAGAACTGAGGTGAAACTAAATGGGGTGCAACTGGGTTTCCTCTCTTCCTCCTCTAGTTATTGACTAATCATCCTTTTGTCGCAACCCAGGCTGTTTCGGGGGGAGCCCTGCCTAGACGTCTTCCAGGAGAGAAGATTCCTCCAGCCTAAGCCCTCACAGCACTCTGTCCCTCTGCTTCATGGCACTGGGACCATGTCTGCTATTTTGAAGATCAGTCCCAGCTGCTTTTCTCTCATGTCAGCTCCCTGAGGACAGGGCTGCCTGCGTGTGTGCTTCCCACTGATATGAACGACGTCGCCTTCAGTAGCTGACAACGGGTCATTCAACACACACTTCAGATCACTTACTTTGTCCCAGGTTGGACTCTAGGTTTTGAAAAAAATGGCAGTGAAAATGCACACGCAAATTCCTGCTCTCTGTAGTTTACTATCTAGTGGAAAGTCCATTAATGGTTGGTGAATGAATAAAATCTTAAACCCAGAGATTTTTTTTTTTTTAGCATGGAAAACAACCTGAGAAATTTAGCCAGTTCATGAGAAAATACATGGACAAACCAGAAGTAATACATGGGGTTAGGGAAAGCAAAGCTGTGGTCCTGACTTTGGCAAAACCAGCCTGTCTCAGCCAAGAGCTGCTTTTCATTGAAGAAGCAGGAGCAAGGATTGTAAAGCATGGAAAAGGGGCCACTAGGTACAGGGAATAAATGCAGCAAACCTGAAGAATACTGTGTTTATAACAAGAGATCTGGACCTGAAGTAAACAAGTATTGATTGTTTTAATTTTAAGTTATGAGCCCAGATATTTCTGTAGTGTAATTGCATTTAATTGGTATTATATAATATCTGGCCCCAATTCAATCACTTGAATTGGTTTTTATTTTCAAAAGCTAAGCAGAGCAATTAGGTAGCAAAAATTATTTTCTAACAATGGTCATATGTTATACTCCAAGAAAGGCCAACTTTTTAAAAGGAAGTGAACTGGAAATAATATTTTCAAAATTTAACTTATTTAAAATAATTATTTTAGCAAATGAAATATGCCCTTCTTTAAAGACAATGGCGAGGGGGGAGGATTAAATGTGGGAGGTGGTGGTGAGCAGGGCAGGGGCGAGTAATGGGGAAAAATAGGGACAACTGTAATTGAACAACAAGAAAAAAATTTAAAAAAATGAAATATGCCCTTCTTAAATATGAATGTGTAAGGTCAATTCAAAGACTGCTTTCTACCTTGTCCATGTATTTAACTTTACTTTTGGCTATATATGAATAAAAACGGGCTATTTAAAGTTTTTTAAATTTTTTAATTTATTTGAGAGAGAGAGAGAAGATGGGGTGGGTAGAGAGAGAGAGAGAGAGAGAGAGAGAGAGAGAGAGCATGCGTGAGCCCGACCGGGGATTGAACCTGGAACCTTGGCATATTGGAAAGATGTTCTAACCAACTGTGCTACCTGGCCAGGGCCAAAAGTAGGGTATTTAAAATATATATGTATCCCTTTCCCTCCTCCAGAAAAAACAAAAAAGCCTTTTCCATGGGCTTTTAAAGGAAAATGCAAGCCGCCTTTAAAAAAAGTGAAGATGGTGCGTCTCTTCAGGAAATGTGAGGGGATTGTGTCCGACAGCAGAGTTCACGGTTAGGGGATTAACGGTCAGGAATTGGTGACTCGCATTCCGGTGGCCGCGGGCTGGGAGGTTAAAGGAGTTCAGTGGGGGATAAACTCTTCTGGGAGGTGGGCTTCTCAAATGAGCTAACAGATGGAGAACTTAGAGTAAAAAAGAGAACGATCAAGTCCTCTCAACATCGAGTCCATCACGTCTTCCTCCCTGGAAGTCTTGAGAAATCAGGTGATTCACAAAGGAAGGGAGACGTGCTCTCCTTGGCCACTCTGAAAGAAATGTATAATGCTACTCCTCCCTCTTCTGTGCCACAACAGAAGGGCCTTGAGCGCATTTCAGATGGTGATGCATTTACACCTCTTTTCACGAGGAGCAGGGTAATGTTTTGTGAGTGGCTGATGGAGGATAAGACCGTCTGACCGAAGGGCAGAACAGATGTTCTAGATACCCCGGAGAACCAGAAAAATCTGCCCCTGAGAGATAGACGATAGTGATAAAACCATGGCGTGCTAGGTTTTTCAGTAGCGGTTTAGATGAACAAACTAAGGGGAAAAGCACCATAAAGTTTAAAAAAATACTATTTGCATGTAGCCACATTTTGTCTGTATATGCACGTCTCTTTCCTTTTGACACGCAAATGACGCACAGAAATACTGACTTCTGAATAAAAAAACGGACTCCCTTTCTAAGTAGTATTATTGGGTTTCTCAAATGCAAACTAGATAATGAGTAAAAATGTAAACAATCCTAACGAAACGGCCCAAGTGAAGCAGTTGTAGCTTCTGTAGTTGGTGTCTCCTGTCTTCGGGTTTTTAATTGCACCAAGTGTAAAGGAGAGGAAGACCACAGGCTCTGCTCAAACGGGGCCTTGTAGGGAGCTTGAACACAGGACCAGAAATCTGTCATCAGGAAACCCATCCTTTCCTTTGTGGTTCTCAGAAATGCAGGTGAGCGGGATACTGATGGGAGGCTAGGGGACCACCTCGGATGGATTCAGGGGTCATGACCGGTTACAGAGGCCTTTTGATGCAGGGGCTCCCCCTTGTCCAAGAGGCCCCTCCAGAGTTTCTCCGACCCAACTAAATCAAAACGATGCTTTTCACTAAAGATTATCAGGAGTTTGCCCATCTTACTTGTTAAGGTTTCTCCATCAATTTAATCTAAATGAGCATAAGAAAGTATTTACCAAGATTACTGGTTCCTTGACAGTAATGAAGATAAATGGCTTCGTGGGAAGTAAAAACAGAAGCATTTATTAAAAGAATGAGTCCTGCATACACGCCAGCAAGGAGGGCACACAGTGACATATTCCGGTTTAACCCAAGACTCAGAAATTAGTGACCTTCTAAATATTTAGGAAATGGAGAAAAATAAGACACTTTCCTCTGGCCCCCTTCTGTGTGATAAACAGACATGCAGTGAAGATGATAAAAGAAAAAAACTAGGAAAAGAAGGATGCCAAAATGGCATCAAAGTCAAGTTTAGGTTCTATCTCATTTGACTGGATAATTCTGTAATTACTGACAGTTGTATTTCATAATCATGGTGATCATCACCACCACCACAGGGAAAAAGAACCAAGTGTTCTTATATTCTAGGTGAGGAGAGGACACTGGAGACACACACAGAGTTGGTCCCTGTCATCTGGATCCTCAGTGGCCAGGGGTGACTGGCGACTCAGACACCCCCTCCCTCACTCTAATACATGATAATGGTCCTCCTGGGGCTGGCTGATGCGAAAGAAGTCACTGTGCAGCCTGTCCAGTGCATTTCTACCCATTTCCAGTCACACCCGCAAATCTAGAAAAACGGATGAGAACTTAGACCGACCGCTCTGCAGCCAGAGTGATCGCCCAGGGTGACGGTGTCATGCTGTCGGTGCGTACGCAGCGCCAGGTAAAGACGTCAGGGTTACCTTTTGTGGGAGGTGTTGCAGAGAGGGCCGTGGCTTGGTGGTTAGAAGATCCAGCTTTGAGTCCTGTTTCTGTCCCTAACTGTCTGGCTTTGGCCAAGTCACTGAAATATTCTCAACCCCAGCCAGCCCCCTTATCATTAAAATTAGGTAGGTAGGGTCGTGTCATTTCCAGTTTTGCCAGCTCAGGATTTCCTTCTGCGCAGAACAGAGCGGGGAGGCAAAGATCCTTGGAGAGCTGAGTTACCTAAACGTGGCAGCTCCACGGCTGATCGCCTCACCGAATACTTCAGGGACAACGGACACTTCACCTTTCTGTCCCCTGGCGGGCTCTGCACCGTCTCCAGGGAAATACCGGAGACCGCTGGGGTTCTCGCTCTTGAGGAGACAGAAGCCTCTCTCTCTGCCTGCAGACCTGACCCTGGGACACTTGGCATACTCCTTCCCTTCTCCCTCCTCTCTCCCTGTGACATCCAAGGCCAGACGAACCCGTTCCAACACAACTTCAGGACCCCTACGTGTACATGAGGTCGAAAAGGCAGGGGCCATGAACATCAAACACTAGGGAAAGGTGTTCACAGAGAAGTGTAACTCTTTGAAGAAAATGTGATCAAATGTCATGACCAGGCCTCACCTAAAACAGCACAAAACGGGTTTGGTTTCCTCGGATTGACCTCAAAGGCAGCACTGTCTATGAACAACAAAAAGGAGCCTCACGCAGTTTATCTGATCTGCTCACGTTTGAAGTGGCCGCCATCTACGGAGAGGCCAGTGGTTTTCAAGACCCAGCCCCAGCCCTGGCGTCTGAGACAGGATGTCCCAGAGCATAGCCAGAAGGCAGCTCCCCTGCCACAGCCAGGGCAGGAATGTTGCGCACTGGCTTTGCTCTGCCACCTGCAGGGTTTCTATACACGGGAGAGCAGTTAGTGAATGGCAGCCAAAGTGGCATATCTGGGGACCGAGGGAGACCTGGCTTCTGAACCACCTGGCGGGGGAGGGGAAGGCTGCCCCCCCCCCCCCACCCGGTCCTGCGCACTGGCGCTTGGGCCAGGTGTCTGTCACGTATCTGGCTTTCCATCTCGGAGTTCAGGGGGTGGTTGCTAGAAGGGAGGTGACTAGTTGGGTAGAATGAAGAAGAGTCCTGAGCCTCCTCTGTGGAGCCCCCAGAGATGGGGAATCTTAGACAAGACACCAGAAGGGACTTAACAACCAGTCCTGACTTCTAAAGCCAAAAAGGGCCAGATTCAAACAGCAGAATGTGCCCAGTGTCACGTGTACATGTTTTTGGTAAGAGAAAACATGTCCATTAATAGCTAGTGGAATAAATGTAACATATGCGGAAAATGAACTATTATGCAGTCATTAGCAATGAGAAGGCACCTTGGACTGAGTGTTGATTTAAATTAATCTCCAAGACCCAGTGAGAATTAAGGGTACAGAGTTAAGTGTGCTATTATTTGTACACACACACACACACACACACACACACACACATGTGCTGACAAGCACATAAAATATCTCTAGAAAAGAAGAAATTCCAGGCAGAGAGCCTGGGTGACAAGGGGCACACACGGGAAGGAGATTACTTTTCGTGTGGCACCATTTCATACCTTTTTCGATTTACACCATGTGCATGTATTATCTGTTCCAAAATAAATTGCTTTTTAAAATAGCTTTTATTTTTTTTTATCTCCTTTTCTTCCATCACAAGAAGGAAATTCTGGCTCTTCCCAAATTATGCTGCCACTATTAGCGTCATCTCAGCTCACGTCCCCTTTTCTCCCTTTATTACGTGCCTAAGTAAACACCTGCCCAGAAGGTGAGCAGCAGGAAGGCGGGACAAAGCACCCACAGCCTGCAGAGCACTGCCTGTAAAACATCAACACAGGTGTGCCTGGAAAGGATCTGATAAACCAAACAGCGAATATTTAGTGCTTATCTTGAGAGAGGGTATAATAGGTCATTTTTATTTGGTCTTGGTCTTTTCTGTGATTTCCTAAGTTTATACAACAACATGTCTCACTTTGGTAATAATTTTTTTCTTTTCCTTTTTTTTAAGATTTATTTATTTATTTACTTCTAGAGAGGGAAGGGAGGGAGAAAGAGAGAGAGAGAGAGAAACATCAATGTGCGGTTGCTGGGGGTCATGGCCTGCAACCCAGGCATGTGCCCTGACTGGGAATCGAACCTGCGACACTTTGGTTCGCAGCCCTCGCTCAATCCACTGAGCTATGCCAGCCAGGGTGGTACTAATTTTTAAGTTTTTTTTTTTTTTTAATAAAATGTTTGCTCCTCACCTGGTTCCTGTCCCTGGCGTTTGCGTACCGAAACCTCTGGATGTAGTAGAAGACCAGCCACGCGAGGGAGATGATCATCAGGACGATGAAGGAGATGGAGACGAACACGACCGAGGTGCGGCTCACGTATTTCTGCAGGTTGCGGGTTCCGATGGTGATGTACATCGTCACGGTGATGTTTCTCTCCAGCAGGCTGACGATCTCCTTCCCTTTCAGCTCGGGGATCATTATTGCCACGATGTCTTCCACGCCTGTGGTCAGAGGGGCAAGGGCAGGGCCGTGAGGGCGGGGGGGGGGAGGGGGAGGGAAATAATAGTGAAATGTCTGGGTTACGTAACACGCAACCAAATAATGGCACTGTTTTTGACAATTCTTTGCCAGATCTACGATCCACATCTAATGCTAAGATCTAGTAGCCAGAGACTGAGTCAAATTCTCTCTTTCCTCAGCTTCCTTGGGATGCTGCTGTCTTGTATGTGAGAATAGAACCTGAAACGGTATTTGTCTTCCACTGTCTGGAAGCCAGTCAACAAAACAAAGAAGCAAGCAAAACAGAACCAGCGACATCAAAATAAAGGACAAACTGACAGCAACCAGAGGGGAGGAGGGAGGATGGTAACAGGGAAAGAAGGGGAAGGGTCGTCAAGGAACATGTATAAAGAACCGATGGCCAAAGCCAAAAGCGGGTAGCATTGAGGGTGGGAGGTGGCGGGGGGGAGTAGTGGGAGGAAAATGAAGACAACTGTACTTGAACAGCAATTAAAAAAAGAATCTAAAATGACCTCATAACCTGGGTACCAGTGAAGGCATGAGAGAGCTACCCTTGCACTGTCCCAGGTGTTGCTGACCCCGGTAAAGGTGGACCCTCCCCAGCTAGTCCAAGTTCACAGTGCCATGTTGCATTTCACAACGAGCCCCCTTGGGGTGGGGAACGGCGCTCTGTACCCCAGATCACAAGGGTAAAATGCACTTTTATGCCATCTGTCCGCAGGCTTTTTCTCCTTCTGCCGCTCAGACACTGTGTGTGCGTGATCACAGATTTTTATCTATCGTTTTCAAGGAGGTTTTCTCCTACAGTTACTATCCAAAGCAACCCCAAACAGGGGTTTTCAACGAGCTCTGACATGTTTGTCAACATAAAATGATGGTCTCAGAACTACATTCTGCCCATTTTACCTAATTCAATGTAAAGCGTGGGTATCCTTGCAGCGAGCAAGGGAAGATGGAGGCTGAACAGGTAATTCCAGGATGGTTTCATCTCTACTCCCAAATACTTCCCCCACGATGCCCCTGTTACCGGACAGCTGGCAGCAAGAGTGGCAACTTTCTTGGGTCTGAGCTATCTGCGTCATTGTCCCGGTTTTTCACGACACCACGAGAAGCACAGCCTCTCCTCAGTGAGGGGTTCCGGGGTTCTGCAAGGGACCTTTAGTGAGGATGTGACAGCAGCTTCAAATGCACCAGCCTGGCATGTCTGGGCGGCTGATCCACAGACTTGCGTATCAGTTTCACTAGGACAGGTTCTCGGGGGTCACCCGATTCAAGTTTTTGCCCATGAAGCTCTTCAAGAGCCCCGTTTCCACATGGAGATAGCCTATTATCTGGGGTCACTACAATTTAGAGAGAGCAAATGTAGCGTAGGGACAAAATGAAATACCACCACAGTCACTTAAAGCTGGCCTTATTCACACCCCGAGGTCAGCCAGCTAGACGGAACCACCAGATTCTATTTGCTCAGGATGTTGCAAGTCTCTTAGAAGCCACTTAGGGCTTTCACTTGACCTTGATCTCTATGCCAGTTTTCAATCCCACATAAAGATTTCACTAAGGCTAAGGCAGATTAAATACATTAAAAGCTAACTACGTACACAAAGGTGTCTGGGTATGACACATCAACTATATATATATATTTTTTTTTTAAAATATGTTTTTATTGTAGTCCAAGTACGGCTGTTTCCCTACCCCCTACCCCCTGCCCCACCCATCCCCACCTCCCACACTCGATCCTACCCCCTTTGGCTTTGTCCATGTGTCCTGTATATACATTCCTTGGCAACCCTTCCCCCTTCGCCCTGTCTTATCCCCTCCTACCTCCGCTCTGGTTACTGTCAGTTTGTTCTTAATGTCAATGTCTCTGGTTTATGCTAAGTGAAACCAGCCAGGTGGTGAAAGACAAATACCATATGCTCTCACCTGTAAGTGGGACCTAATCATCAACTATATATTCTTAAAAATCCCAAAGCCTTTGTATCGGCCCAACTGTAAAGTCACAAAGCCACACAGTGTTTAGATTGAGCTGTTAACTTCTGGGAATTACCGAAACGGATGGCTTGAACTTCACCTCTGCAGAATTTACTGACAGTTCCAAAGCTCCCCTTTTCATGTTTACTTTGGCTAATGGCTGCATGTGGTCTGAGGCTTTGCAAGGCGTTAGAGCTGCTGGCAGGTTTGTCTCTGCAGGAATAACTTCCTTGTTTGCTGGGCTAGTCTGGCCCAGTGAGGTTCGCCCTGGTGCTGTGGCCAGTTTAGAGATATTTACATAATGGTAGAATCATACCCTTTCACTTAATGTATCCCCTTATTTACATATTTTTAAGCGTGTCTATTCAAGGCTCTAGAATAAGACTTTTTTTCTGACAAGGGGATTTTGGGGTTATTTATGAGATTTGTATGCTCAGTCTCGGCACCAGTTTTACATTTTTTAGTGGTCAAATTTTATTATTATTTTCCTTTACGGCTTCTAGTTTCGACACTCTGCTTAGGAAGCTTCCCCACCAAAGATGACAGAGATACTCTCTTAAAATTGCTTTTCAAATTTTTTAGTTTTACTTCTCACACTGAAATCTTGAACAACCTTAATGTGATTTAATAACAACACAACATGTGTTGCAGCTCTTGTAATGTGATGGGCAGAGAGGAGACAGATAGGGTGCAATTTCTATTTCCCTAAACTCTTAGACATATTGGGATCCCAGCTGGGTTTTATTTTACTGTTAGGTTGACCTGTCTTTTGCTGAACCAACACCAGGCTATTTGAGTTGTCTAGGCTTTTAACATACTTACTAGCAGGTAGTCTAACTCTTCCTTCACTAACTTTCTTGTGGCATTTTTCCTAGTAACTCCTAATATTAAGAGCCCACAGAGTCTAATGGTAAAGAGTTGGGTTCTGACACTGAACCGCTTGTTTCTTCAAGTCCCAGCTCAGCATTTTAAAAACAGACAAGCGAAGTTTGGCTATCCACGAAGTTCTAAATTACGCATCCTCCATTTCCAGGAACCGGAGAAAACATTTTCTCTTCCTGTAGGGCAGAGTATAATTAACTATTTTAAACACACTACCTGTGTTGCTCATAACCACTGCTGTGCCTTCATGATGTATGACATCCGCTCGGAAAGACTGAAAATGACAGTGTTCTAGCCACCTGGACTTTAACCTTATTCATTGCCAATGTTCATCATGAATTTCTAGGGCGATAATGATACAAAATAGATGGGATTCCGGGACATTTCTCCATGCACGTTAGGCTACGTATTGTGCTTTTATCCCAGTAGAAACAGTCAGTAAGAGCTCAAGTGCACGGGGTATCCCAAAATAGTACAAAGTAAAGTGGATTTGGATGAACTAACTGACCAATCTGATCAAAGCACAAAGTCCAGGGCAAAATGCTACTGTAGGATCCAGTCTGTTTCAACGAGACCTGTGCACCACCGTGAGTTACCAGACAATTCCCTGATGTTGCTTCAGTTTGGAAAGTGCAGCTAGCGTCAGGGGGCAGCCTGCAGGTCGGCCCCAGGCTCGCTGTGGTGTCCTGGCTTCTGCAGGTGTGTGTGAGGGAGGAGGCGAGGGGAAGAGCAGGGCTGAGAAGTGCAGGGCTGTTGAGAGTCCGGCTGAGCCACCTCCTTCCAGTGAGTGAGTGCTGCCTTAAGCACACAACCTGCGACCTGCCGGAGGTTCTGAGACTCGGGGGAAGAGCAGTAAACGAGCAGCATATTTTGTGTGTAAGCGCTACAAACAGGTCTTGCTCTTTGGTCAATTCTGTGTTTACTGTGATGCCTAGTCTACTATCAATTGTGTCTTTTTGCAAAATTATGTCAGCAAACCATCTACTTTCCTCCCACTTCTGGGTGATCACTGTTCTGCAGTCACCGTCCAGTCGGGAAAAGCTCTGTCACCCTGCGAGAGAGTGTGACCACGGTGCACACCATGCATATGATGCATGTGACACAGTGGCCAGACAGGCCACCGGGCGCCCTGTGGGTTTAGTGCTTCCTTTTCCCAGGAGAGCGCTCAACGGCTGTTACCTAATTTGATCTACGCAGATAAGTCAGGAATCAGAACAAAAGTTCAGAAAGAATGTTTACTAACCAGGAAATCCTTTACTGATACATTCAAAACCAGGTCATTCAGACACTGCATTGATAGATCTAGAGCACCAGCACAGTGCTACGCATTTAAAGGGCCGACAGCCCTATTTCTCCCCGTGCACCCTGCAGGGTGGTAATACCCTCCTATGGGTTCATGGGAGCAAACACCCTTTTCAGCTCTCTGCATCCTCTCTCCCCCTAATCTCTACTCACTGACTGATGGCCCTTTTGAATTTAGGCTATAATAAGAGAAGGCAGTTTCTATTTATAGATGTTTTCTCTTTATACACTTAATATCTACTTTAATAATGGCTCCTAATAATCATCTATTCTCAAGTAAGATGATAATGTATGTGAAATAATTTCAAAAGCTGCCAAGTACCATATAAATGCAAAATATTATAATTTTCTGCATTAGTTTAAAAACATTTTTAATAAATATAGATGTCAAAATCCTAAGTAAAGCATTCACAAATAGACCTCAACAATATAGTAAAACAAACAAGCAAACAAACGAAAAAAAACAAAGAAACTTCATTACCAAGGTGAGACTTAGAAAGAAGAGGGTGATTTAACATTAGAAAATACATTAATGCTTTTTAGTGCATTAACAAATTAAGGGAATAAAGCATAGGATTATCTTGTGTAGCTAGCTTTCCTCCAATATGTGGTCTCTTATGTCTAAGGTACTCGTGTCTTCGCCAGGCACACAATGTCCAGTGGAGTGTTCATGCGCAGCCTCCCTTGCAGCTAGGCTGTAGCTCTGTGGTTAATATTTGGCTCTGAGATGTGAGTGGAGATGATGTCAGCTACTCTAAGGTCTTCTCCATAAAGGACTGACTATATGCACTCCATGCCCTTGATATTGATCATTAATCATCTACAT